TCAACCTTGAGACGGTGAGATTAGAACCGCTGAACTGCAGATAACAGTCAGCTGAAGTGGCCTGCAGTACTGCACCCTAACCACTGTGCCACCTCAGCTCATTAAACAGGTAGCAAATCTTTTTGTTACAGTTTTACAAAGAGTGTCTTATTTTGCAGTTCTTTAGGCAATAACTTATCTGTAGGATTGAAAAAGAAGAAAACTTGAGGAGTAGCACAATTTGACTGGAATTGTGTGGCCTATCCTTCATTGTATAAGAGGAGAAATAGCAAGGGATTATCTTCCCTCTTCTGCAATTTTAAATTAGCATTATTTTCTTGTAGATTATACCTATCTTTACCATGAATGATAATCTGCATATTAATCTTATGCTACTTATGATCAATAAGTGGTCTAAATTATGAAATACCGGTCTTGTCCACTGGAAAATTCTCTTGATCTCATGGAAAAACCCCTTCTATGATGTTCCTATCTCTGCATCCTTCCTCTGGCAGTTGTGATCTGCTCTTGGCCCAGTGAGGTTGACCTTGGCCCATTAAGACCTTCTCTGTTCCTTCTGTTTATTCCCAGTAGCCCTCACGGTAGACCTCAACTTACAACTCCAATTGACCCCAAAATTTGTGTTATTAAGCGAGACAGTTAAGTGAGCTTGCCCCATTTTATGATTTTTCATGCCACAGTTGTTAAGTGAATCATTGCAATTGTTAAGTTAGTAACATGGTAGTTAAGTGAATCTGGTTTCCCCATTGACTTTGCTTGTCACAAGGTCACAAAAGGTGATCTCAATAAAGGAGAATATTTGTAGCTCAGGGTTGCATTGAGAGGTCCTCATTTCAACCCTGTGATCACATTACCCCAGAACACTGCAACCATCATAAATATGAACCAGTTGCCAAGCATCTGAATTTTGATCATGTGATAATATGGATACTGCAATAGTCATTAAGTGTGAAAAATAGTCATGTCACTTTTTTCAGTGTAACAGCCACTAAATGAATGGTTGTAAATTAAGCTTTGCACATGAACATTTTAAAAGGATTATCATAACTAGTGTAGTTTGCTTAGAATTAACCCATGAGAGTTCTGGTTGCCTAAATCCATTGAAGTGCCCAGCAGTTCAACCTCATTAGAACCTTGATAATGATATAGCTGTTCATCAGCTAGTTATCTTAAGCTGCTTTGTACTACATGCCTTGAGGATGTCAGAATTCCCTGCCATTTTTTATTTTAATAAAATATTAATGTCTTTTACGCAATCTGATGAAATTTCATATACATATAGGCTTTAGGTAGGCCATATTATAAAGACTAATTACAAGTAATCCTCACTTAGTGACCATTCAAAATTACCATGGATTCACCTCAAAGCTACGCACAACCTGGTCCCAGAGTTCTGATGGCCACCACGCCCCAATTATGAGACCCTATTTTGGATACTTGACAACTGACTGGAATTTACAATTGTTACAGTGTCCCACAATCACATGACAACATTTTGGGGGGGGCTTTTTTTGCCAGTTTTCAGAAGAAAAAAAAAACCATTGAAGAAAATGGATTTGCTTAATGACTGCTACAAAAAAGGTCATAAAATCAGGTGTGATCATTGACCCATTTAATTACTACCAAGACATATGACTAATTCTGGGCTCAATTACGGTAGTAGGTTGTGGACTACATGTATATCATAAAGGGAACATCTTCATATTGGACTCCTGATAACTTCATGGATAGATCCATGCCATTTTTATGCCTTTTTTCCTTTTTTTAGACTTTTATTAAAGTTTATTATAATATAAAATACAAATTTTTAAAAAGATCATAAGGGAATAGAGAAAAGTGAAAGAAAGGAAAGGAGGCAAGTTTAAAAAAAAACCCAATGTCTTCCAACTTTTTTTAGTGCAAGAGAATAGAAAATACAGCTGCAATCACAGCTTTTTGCTTTCCATATTTAGTATTATCCATTTCCATAACACAGTTAATCTAATAATCAAAATCTAAAATCAAAGTTTCTTTTTTTTCTGTTAAAGCATAAAGTTCAGAAACAGTTTCCAGGTGGAAACAAACTGGATATGATCTTTTGTTTAAATAAAGCAGTTAATTTAGCCACTTCTGCCAACTCTTACCACTTTTTTATAATCCATTCTTCCATTGTGGGAATTGACATGTCTTTTCATTTTTGCGCAAGTAGGATTCTCTCAGTGGTCAATATATAATAACAAACTTCCTTTTTCCCAGGTTTTTTATCTAATAATCCTAAGAGAAAAACGTCTCAATTTTATATTTAAAATTCTGAATCCTTCTTCTTTCTTATACGTTTTCCAAGCCTGTTTTCTTCCCTGCACTCTCTGAGTATCAAGAGGAAATGGAAAAATAAGTATCCACAGAAACGTTAGAGAAGTAAAATTTGCCATGCATTTGCTATATTAAGCTTTCATTCATAGATTTGTGGGCCACAATGTCCAGATCATAGAAGAAATTTCAACATATAGAGAAGTAGCCCGGAGAGCTCTGTGTTATCTGTTTCTTGACATGGGTGACCTTGAAAGGCTGATACAAATAGACATTCAGCTGTTCCTTTAACATTCATTTAATATACTCATATAATTAAACTGCTGTCATACCCATACTTTGAACACATGGTAATTATTTTTCACTACATCATGCTTGTTTCAAAATCTGAGGGCTTTTTTCACCTTGCCAAAAAAAATGGAAGCATGCCAAGTGAATATTAAATTTATCAAAACATATTTTCGTGCAATTGGATTACAGTTCTATGATCACGTATTGTTTTTGATAATAAAAGAGTCTTTCTTCTGGACCTGATGTTCCAGGCACACAGAAGAAAACAGTCAGGTGAGGTTAGCAACTTAAATATTACTTTCACTGAAATGATGAAACGGTTAGATCTCGTTCTCTTCCGTTTTACATCTCAGCTTTTTAACACAAACACATGCTAACATTACTGCATCAAAGGACTAGAGACATGTTTCAGCCTATCCATATTTTTAGTTATATTAACTTTTTAAACCTCAGGCAAGAACATTCACCATTTTCAACTCTGGGAGACTTGGCTTCTTCATTTGTTTTCCAAAAATGTTTGTGAGATAAACCTTCTTCATAAAAAAACCCTTAACGTATTCCATAAAAGGTTTGAAACAAATCATCAACAACATTTTTTTTTCTTTGTGCAATAATTTTTTTTCTCCTGGAAAGTTTATACTTAGTTGATAATCTACTTTCAGTACAATGTCATTTGTTTTTCACACCTTCACAAATATTTTATTAAACATATTGAGCTATCCATGAACAAATTATGACTTGTGTTTCAAAATATATTTGATAATTGACAGCCATTATTGTGATTTAAAATAGTTCTTAGTCCTTCAAATACATAATGGATCCTTTCGACTGAAAGAGGTGAGAGAAATTTCATATTGCCTTGTTGCAACGCACCTTATATGCTGAATTGCAATGTCACAAAACTTCAATATGAATAATATATGTGGAAATATAAATTTTCACACCAAGAGCTTCACTATCAAATGGTAAAATGGCAAGTGCATTTTGAATGTTGTTCTGTCCTACAATATGTGCAGGACAGAATAGCATTCAAAATACAATATGTGCAGCACAATTAATTACTATCATATTCCTTCTGATTTTCTATTTGCATTCCTTCTCTTCACATCTCAAGAATTGTATTATAATCATCAAAACAAAAATCTAACTTTCACAAAATGGTCATGCTTTTTGAGAATACAGAAGTGATTTATCATTATTTTGGAGATTCCCCTAGAAAGCCACTAAGTCAATGTTTTAACATTTATGTCTGTCTGGTCTAAACAAAGGCACCCAGCCACAGACACAATTCTACGTCCTTTTTGTTTTAAGCATCAATTATTAAGCAAGTTTAGATTTGCTCAACATTTCAAGTCTTTCAGAACATATACTGCAGTGGTAGGTTCCAGGTGGTATGGCCCGGTACCGGTAGTAGCCGGGAGAAGTGGCCACCGTATCGGTACAGTGGCTTGTTTGGCCCACCCGTCTGCCCACGTTCCATGGCTGTTTAATAACGCGACCGGCCCATTGCGCACGTGTGCACAAGCATGCAGCTCCTGCACGACCTCCACTGGCCAGATAGGTGTCGCAGAGCAATGGCATGTACGCACAGTGTGCATGCCTGTCTAGGGTGCCTGGCCCTGTGCGCAGCGTACCGGCTGCGCCAGGGTCCAGAACGCACCACTGATATGCAGGTAGGTGCAATTCCAAAATACTAACATCACATTTTGCTTAAGCAATTTAGGTGCAAAATATTTTGCTATCATTTGGAACTGGTCCCTTAACTGCACACCCTCCCTACTTTTGAATGCCTGCTAGAAGGGGTTGTTTCCTTATGGTACAAATACACAACTTGGGGGTATTTTGTTGCAAGCCATCTGCATGGAGAAGACATCTGACCTAACTTATATTTCCTTCCTACTTCTTTCAATTTTGATTTTTCCGAAAGCAGAGAGGAGGAACCAAATAAGATGAGGAAAAGGACTTCTTTTGAGCAGTTGCAGAGTAACATAGAGCTTTTAACTCTGGCAAGGAGTCACCTCCAAATTCTCTGCATGATAGGAATCTGGGGAGCTGCTTCCCAGGTCAGGTATGTAGTTTTCCATATGTGTGATACTGCTTACAAATTCAGCTTGAATCCAGAAAACAACCACTCTCACCCTCAGCCCAGTTATTTAGGCCTAAAGTTAGCCCACAAGTCTTGGGAAGGGAGGCTCAGCCTCATTAACCAGTCTCTGCAGACATTTTAAAGTTAATATTGTAAACTTTATTAAATGTGCATTTTTGTATTAATGGTTATCCTCTTTAACAGTTGAATAATGAATGTAATAAAATCAGCCTTTATGGTACAAACTGGAAATAAAACTGATGCAGAGATAAATAGCAATTACTACTTTGAACTGTTAACCAATTTCATTGTATTTAAGTACAATGACAATAAAGATTATACTTATAACATCACTTCAGCCAGACAGCTCCCTATTTTGGGAAATACTTTGAAAATGCACCAGAGATGGTCTGTCTTTCATAAATAATTGAGTCAATTAAAGGTCTTCATTTAGGATTTCTAACTCTTGTTTACAAATGTTGGGAGAACATGTTCAAATTTTGCAGAGGGGACACATGCATCAAACAATAAATGTTCAATAGTAAAACTATACTATCCTTCTGAAATTCTACCTCAAACCCAATTGAAATCTTACCCTTCTCCTTGCCTCCCAACCATAAAATTGACTTTATATTAAAACTGTAATATATAAAATATAATATCAAACATTGTATTAAAAACTCCTGACTATTCCTCTCCAAAACAAATAAAAATCCCATCCTATCCCTCAAACCATCTTCGCCGATTTTACATTAAATATATCTCCTGATACTATGGTTCTCTCCGCCTTAAAGTCAAACAGGTAAGAGACCAGTCCTGTTAAAATCCCTTCTGTACTACCGGTATATTCCAGCTCAGCGACATAAAAAAACAGATCCCACCAGCTTGAGTTCAGTCGCCGTAAAGCAGTTTGAGCAGACGAATGTTGCAATCAAGAGGCGGAGCTGCAGTCTCTGGATAACAGCTGCCAATCACAATCACGCCCCAAAGAAACTTCAAATAGTTTCTTCAGCCGAGCCAACCGGACCGTACCATTTAACTGGGGTGGGGGGAAAGATGACAGGGAGAAGGGCCACCTCGACCTACCCCCTCCTATCCTCAGCGGCAGTCTTGCTATAGCAGTGGAGCCATTTTTTATGTTCGATATTCGTGCTGCTGGGAAATCCTTGAGATCCAGCAGCCAGCATGCACCACGACAAGGCTAATGTATATTGCACCCCAAAATATGTTGCATTTTGCTACGTCATACGAAATAAATGATGCAATAGCATTTTTGGATTATGTGAGGAAGGTGCAACTAAGCACCGACAATTTCCACTTTATTTGCCTCGAAATAAATGGCGGGAAAAGGCAATTCTGCCCATTGGTGGCATTCCAAGCAGGTCTGAATCGCGGCCCTCCTCCTCCCAGTGGCTTCACCTCTCATTACTGTAGGACCCTGAGAGGCTGCCACAAAGAAGAGGAGGGGTCAATTTATTTTCCAAAGCAACAAAGTGCAGGACAAGAATGGGTGAAAGAAGCAACCTAGAATTAAGGAGAAATTTTCTAACAGGACAGTTTAACCAGCGAAAGGATTTGCCTTGAGAATTTGTGGGTACTTCATCACTGGAAGTTTTTAAGAAGAGACTGGGAGCCATTTGTCTGAAATGGTGAAGTAGGATCTCCATCTTGAGCAGGAGGCTGCACTAGAACCACCTCCAAGGTCCCTTCCAGTCCTATCCTGACTGAGTTTAGAAGAAGCTGCCCAAAGGAAGCGGAGCCAACAGTTGAAAGCTCGCCGAGAGCTTCGATTTGCGCAGAGAAGGAGGCGCCGGTCCTGCGTCAGCCGGGGCAAGGCGGGACTTGTGACACTCCCTCGGCCCGTCCTACTGGCCAAGGCGCGAGAAAGTCTGCGTTACCGGCAGTATCGGACGGGGACTCCCGCAGGCTGCAGTGGCCCCCCCCCGCCAAAAAAAGGACCGGGGCCTTGTGAAGCGCAGAAAAAAAGCCTGCACTGGAATCCAGGCTCCACCAGCCGTGCCGAAGAGAAGTGTGGACGGAATGAGCCTTTGGCGGGAGCCCAGCCGGGCACATAGACGCGAGTCAAGAGGGATGGACCGCCACAGCACGGCTCTGCACCTCGTGGCAGGCGGGTGAGTAAGCTTACGGGCGTCTGAGCACCACCCGTCGCGGGGATCCCGCGCGTGGGGCTCCGAAGCGCGCCCTCTTGGCCCAGCGGCATTTGCTGCTGCGCGGATTGCTGGGCTGGCAAGAGCAGCGTGTTGGGGCGAGGCCAAAGCACGTGTTTGCCAGCTAGGTGACCCCTCGCAGTCCTGGGCATCTCTTAATAAGCATGGCGGGGGTTCTGTACACCCCTGTTAAATATTGCTATAAATTGGCCTTTTGCTTTGTGCCGCTGTTAACCAATGACGTATAATTTTTAGTAAGGTCGAGAAAGTTGCAGGAACTTTCGCTAGAGGTCTCTTTCCTTGGGCAGTGTGCAAGTAGTTGCTTTCTTATCTGCGTTGGTGCTCAGCTTTCGTTATAACCGAGTGAGGATTTGTTGCACACCAGCTGAAATGAGTGTTAAAAACTCCCAGAAATTTCGTTCTCCCTTACTTAACTGGCAGAGTCAGGATGAATGCTACTGGTAGGAAATCTTACATACATTTTTTTTTAGCCAGAGGTATCCTTTTTCAACCTGCCCTCCTAGCCGCGTTTGGAGAAGGAGACCCGGATATATTGTGAACACGTGGGCAGCTTTTCAAGTACCCACCTCTTCTCCACTACTATTGAAATCAAAACATAAATTTATTTTGCCCAACTTAGAGAAGGTTTAAAACTACACCAGTGATGTGGGTGTGATTAAGGTCCAGATGCGATTGGCTATGAAGTCAGTGTACACCTCCCCTATGCCTTCCTGTTACTCTCCCCGCCTTAACCTATTCTTTGCCAATGGCCTGTTTGATTAGCTTCCTGACAGCAGTCATTTGTAGCTCTGGCTGTTCTTCAGAACGGTTGTGTTTTTATTTAGAGATTTAGAAGTGCTGGGAATTGTCCTGAAGCTCAAGAAAAGCTCAACTTGAGCACATGAATGCTCCAAAATGCTAATGTCTTCCAAGGCACACAGGCACAGAAACAAGAAAGAAGGATGGGTCTCAGGTCAATGCAGCTGGTTGGAGGAGAAAGCTTTGAATTATTTCCTTTTGTTTTGCAGCATTGCTTAGACAATAAACAATGAAAAGTAAGTTGTGAATGCTGTAAATATACTGAAAAAGTAGATGCATATTTGGAGAAATGTTAAAAATAAATATGGGGTGGTTTGTTGTTGGAGAGGCTATCTGACATGCTTAATATACACATGTGTAGAAATTGCTTCTATGCCTGAAGATTAGAAAAATGCCATTATTGTTCCCCCTTGACCAATGTTTTTCAACTTAAAACAACTTTAAGTTTGTGGAATCTATTCCCAGAATTCTGGGAGTTGAAGCTGCCACATGGCTTAGTAGAGGAATAGTAATTGCCATTTTTGGCAACATGAGTTCCCAGTATGACTGCTGGAAAGTTTGTAGCAATGAATCATGCTGTTTTAGTTTTCAAGACACTGTCCCAATCTTCTTTTCTGACCCACAATATTTCTCAGGGGTCGGCGTTTAATTTTCCCAAGGAGCCACATGAGAAACGGGGGCTGTTATGAAGGGCTGCCACCACTGATGTTCCGCTGGCCCCTCTCACCAACGATAACTGCTCCCACCTTCTGCCACCAACTTCCACAGGCCAAATGTAGCCCATGGTCTGCCGAGGTCTAATATTTCTGCTGTTTGGGGGGCAAAATTCCATGAGGACTGAAAAGATTTGTTCTCCAAAGATAAGCTACCAAGTTTTATCAGTGAAAACCAAACATAAACAGAGGGAACTCCTTGATAGCAGAGGAAAGAGGAGGTGTGGATAAGAAGAACCCCTAATAACAGTATTTCAGTATTTTCCAGCAAAGAATCCTCTAAATACAAATAATATTTTTCTGCTATAGAAATTACTCTGTCTAGTACCGTAGAAACTGTTACCATGGTGCCTATACTCATGCGCTACTGTTTCTATTCTCTTTCCAAATAAAAATAATATTGGTCTGCATGACTGGTTTCTTAGTCTGATCTATCTTGAAAAGCCTTGACATGCCTTACAATTAGAGTTCCTTTTACACACATATCAAACTATTTCTTGTATGCCAGTTCTGCAGCCACATTTACTTTACATTTGGGCTGCACAAATCCTGACAATAGCTAGGTGATATCGAAGAGACATAGAAAACCCATAATCTTTGCAGTCATCTAGGTTCAAAGGAAAATGATCCTTTGGAAAAATATTGGGGAAGTTGGATGGAGTTTTTCATAGCCAAACACGTGTTTTACATGGTAATTACTGTAATGACAGCATTTCCTGTGGCTGATGACATTGGGCAGGACTCGAACTACTATCATTTTCCTTTGTGTCGTGCAATTCAGGTAGTCCTTGGCTTACAACCACAAGTGGGATGGAAATTTTGTCACTAAGTGAGGTGGTTGTCAGTGAGTAACATCCGATTTTGATATTTTTTGCTGTAGTCATTAAAAGAATCCTGTGGTCATTAAGCAAAACCAGTTTCCCACATTGACCTGGTCAGAAACTAGATGAGAAGGTTGCAAGCAGTGATTACGTGACCACAGGACCATGCAACCAGTGTAAATATATGTTGGTTACCAAGTGCCTGAAATGCTGCAATGGTCATAAGTGCAAGGATCTTTTTTGAGTACTATTGTAACTTCAAACAGTCGCTAAATAAGTTATCGCAAGTCAGCAACTACCCATAGAGCTCTACTGTGAATGCATATTAAGAGCATATTGCAGGGGGAGAATGGTTTATGCTGAAATGATTTTCTACAGGCTCTGGAGAAGGAAGCATGGCAAAGAGATTGTGTGAACGAGTCTATTTCTTCACTAGTAGTTGACTATACTTTTATTGAAAAGCTTCCCTGGTATCTTACTACTCTCTGTGCTTTGCACTGGCTGGTATCTGAAAAAAAACACTTCAGTACTGCATAATTAATTATAATTTCTCAATATAACTTCCCATTATACTGAGGAAAAGAACAAAAAATGCTATGAAACTGTATAGACTAATAAAGGTATTAAGGTGCTGCAGAATTCCTTCCCTGGTAGTATTTAATCCAATGCTATTGTAGATTCCATAGTAGCAGATTTCTGCACTAGATAGGGTGGGACTAGATAAACTTTAAGGTCTCTTCCAACCCTTACTTTATATGATTTCTTGATTATTTGTTGTAGTAAATTAACATACAATAGCTGCTCCTCTAGGTAGGGCTTGGCACTGAATTGTTCATATTGTGCTGCTATCCTGGTCAAGATTAATTTAGGTGCCTGTGACCAATTTGTGACCATTACAGATAGTCCTCAACCTATGACCACAATTGAGCCTAAAATTTCTGTTGCTAAGTGAGACATTTGTTAAGTGAATCACTGCGGTTGCTAAATTAGTAACACAGTTGTTAAGTCAATATAGCTTCCCCATTGACTGCTTGTCAGAAGGTTTGCAAAAGATGGTCACATGACCCCAAGGGACTGCAATCGTCATAAAAATGAGTCAGTTGACAAGTGTCTGAATTTTGATCATGTCACCATGGCAACTGTCATAAAAGTGAGAAACGATCACTATTTTCAGTGCTGTTGTAACTTTGAATGGTCACTAAATGAACTGTTGTAAGTTGAGGAGTACCTGTATTACAAATGTTTAAAAGGTTTTCCCAGGATGGTTTTTTTTCCTCTCCATTCTCCTCTTTCCACAGGATCTCAAGTTGATTTTTGTGTTATCTGGCTTAGAGCGACCTTTTGGACTTGACACAATCTGTGTCCAAACTGCGTCCTTGTGCAATATGCATTGTTGATGACCCTGGAAGTCAGCCCGCAGTTTTTTTGTCTTAGGGTGCTATATTAAAAAGAAAAAAGCCTGTTGGCACCATTTCTGGTTTCCTATGTTAATTAAAACACAGATTAGGATTTTGTTCAACCAAAAATAATGGAATGGGTTACATTTTTCCCCTTTTTTCACATGTTTCTTGTTACATATATACAGGTGTGCACAATACCAAATGCATGGAAATGCATGTTTTCAGATGATACATTAGAAAAAGAATATAATTTGCCATCTCATGACTGCAGGCTTTCTCATTTTATGAGGGACATGCTTTCTCTCTTGCCTTTTCGCTCCTTCAGTGAGATTTTTCCCTTTTCCCTTCTTGGAAATTACACCCTCATCTCACCTACATGCATTCTGTCCCTCCTGAAAAGGCTTTGCTTAGATTCGATATCCTTCAGTCCAATAGCCTATTTTACCTCTTTGACCACATCAGTGTTGTTACTTTTGGTTCCATGATTAGACTCGTTTCTTGCTCACTAAGGGAATGGTGAGAAAATGTGTAGCCAAGATATTATTCCATGGAACTACATTCTCATACCATTTCCTTTTCTCTCTGGAGCAAGCTTGCAGAGGCCAGCTTAATGGAGGCTGCTCCTTTAACTGCTGTTCCTTCTTCCTGACATACTGCTAGTATGGAGGCAGATGACTACAGAGGGGAAGATTATAGAGTCAGCAAGAGTACCCATACTGCCAGAGATATTAGAATTAGCACGTTTTGTCTTAGAGTGTTAAGGAAATATCCAGCAATTATAGAAGCCCAAATTACTTGTATTTGCATTTATTAGTTTGTCAAACATGTACAAGATAGCAGGTATAAATATAAACATGGACATGAATGAAATGAATACAAATAAATGGGGACAGTAGGACAGGGACCATAGGTACGCTGGTGCGCTTATGCACACCCCATTTATGGACCTCTTAGGAATGGGGTGAGGTCCGCGGTAGACAATTAAGATTGAAGCTGTGAGGGTTAGAAGGTGTAACAACAGAGTCAGGTAGAGCATTCCAGGGGTTGACCACTCTATTGCTGAAGTCGTATTTTCTGCAATATAGTTTGAAATGGTTTACTTTGAGTTTGTATCGATTGTTTGCTCGTGTATTATTGAAGTTATAGTGACGTAGAAAAAGAGTTGTTCAAACAGGCACCAAAAAGTAATTTCTAAATCTTATTTTTTTATAAACACAAGCAGATGAATAAACCTATCCAATTGCCAGTCAGCAGGGCCTTTTCTTAGCAAATCACAAGATGAAGTTGAGTGTTATGATAAAGAAGCTGGACTAGAAACTGAGATTGTGAATTCTAGTTTTACTTTGGGCATGAAACACAGCTGGGTGATTTTGGGCCAGTCTCTCTCTTTAGGCCAACCTACATCACAGAGTTGTTAATTGTTATGCAAAAAATAAGAGGGAAAAGCATTCTGTATACTATATTGAATTGTACAAAATAAAGTTGGGATATAAATATTTATACATATATAGGATAACAAAAGCTGCATTATGGTGTGAACATAGTCAATTCCATAGTACATAGGGCCAAAGATTGGACAGAAAGATTATTTATTGGGCTAATACTGATTATTTACTGGGGTAAAGAACAGTTGCCAAAGTGCACAGTAGCAGAAATCCTGCGAGCTGTGGCAAGACATGCAGGCAGCAAAACAAAGCTTGTTGAGCAATTTCTAGAAGCAAAGTTCAGGAGTTTGGGGCTTCTTCCCTCCCCCTCCCCAATTGGCATCTGCTTGGAACCACAGAGCCAAGACGTCAGCATGTTAATCAACTGCAAATCTGGAAGCTGACGCACATTAATATGGCAGAGCAGCCCATGGAGAAAATAAATATATTGGAGAGAGATGAAAATGGCGAGGGCTACTGTGTCAGTCCTGGTGGACATAATCGCATGCATTCCTACTTTCCCAATCAGTTTTCTTTTGATTATCATTCTTGACTAAAAATGTCTGATCTCTTCTGGTCTGATCTCGTCCACGAATAAGATCCTTTAAATATAGATGCATTAATTGAACTTGCAGTCAGAATAAAATGAGGGAATCTTGATGTTTTTTCTTACCTTCATCTCAAATTATCTTTGCTAAAAGATATTTATTGTTCTTTTGGTTAATATACCAAACAACGAATGACTAAATTTTCTACTGGACATAACAGACAATACATATATTTTTGTCCCTAAATATATGCTCAATCAAAAGTCCCAACCGATTTTGACAATTTGGGGGTGGATGTAATACAGCATTACACTAAAGACTGTCTCTCACCTTTGATTGGTGAAACGTGTTGATTGTGCATGTCTTTTCTGTACTACAGATTAGGTGGAACAGCAGGAGCCATTCTGACTTGCCCATTGGAAGTAGTGAAGACCCGCCTGCAGTCCTCCACCTTGGCTCCAAGACCTGTTTGCTTAACTGCAGTACAGTTGCAAGGAGTGAATGGAACATTTGTCCGCCCAGGGCTCCCCAGGATCGGCTTTATTGAGCTACTAAGGTGAACAATGTGGGAGAACAGATCTGTGTTAACTCTCCTCTACCTTGAAAGATAGGATGGAAAGTAATGTGCTCATTTACGTCTTTCTAAACAGAGTCATTCTAGAGAAGGAAGGTGTTCGCTCCCTGTTTCGAGGTCTGGGACCTAATCTTATTGGAGTTGCTCCTTCCAGGTAAGATGGTTTGATGGAACAGGTAGTTATCTCTAATGATCCAAGCATAACTTTACAGAGCTTATCATTGTAAGTGCCTATATGTTATCAGAGAGTTCAGGTTCTTTTGACACATGGCATCAGTGGACTTTTTAAAAAAGCTCATGGCCTTTGTATTTTTTTCTTGGTTTGTCATCCAAATTCAACCTTGTTTGGTTTTTAAGATGCAATTTCCTCTTTCTATTTACAGGGCCATTTATTTTGCTGCATATTCGGGAGCTAAGGAGAGACTCAACACAGTGCTTATGCCAGAGTCCAAGAAAGTTCACATGATTTCAGCAGCCTGTGCAGGTAAATTAATACCCCATGCATACAAATATGGGTTGACATTAATCATTAAATGGCTTAAGCTTAATGAATGATCGGTATATACATCAGTATACATCCGCCTTTCTCCACCTTTTTACCCGGGGGGACACTTTGAAATAATGTTCAGGTCTTAAGGAATTTTATAATCAATGTTTTATGTTGGTCCCTTTGACTTCCCTTCATCTGCTTCCTGCAGGCATCACATCCGCCACTTTGACCAATCCTATCTGGTTAGTGAAGACTAGGATGCAATTGGAGCGCAGGTAAGGGCAGTGGGAAATGCACCTGTCTAGGATCCCATTTGAGTCACGTGCATTGCCTAGATCATTTCCGGACAACATAGAAAACTAGCTTTTAAAACAGCTAACTGCAAATGTATAAAGGGAGATTTGTGAACTGTTAAGACTAATCAGAGTACAAATACAGGCAGTCATTGATGTACGACTACAATTGAGCCCAAATTTTCTGTTGCTAGGTGAGAAAGTTGTTAAGTGAATTTTGCCCCATTTTACAACCTTTCTTGCCACAGTGAAGTGACTCACTGCAGTGCTTAAGTTAGTAACACAGTTGTTTAATGAATCTGGCTTCCTCATTGACTTTGTGGGAAAGTCGCAAAAGGGGATCATGTGACACAGACCTGCAACTGTCATAAATATTGCATTAGTTGCCAAGTGTCCAAATTTTGATAACCTGACCATGCTGCAGCAGTGAAAAACTCAAGATCTTTTTTCAATGCCGTTGTAACTTTGAATGGTCACTAAATGAATTGTTTTAAATTGAGGACTACTTGTAGACTATCCTGCTCTTAAGCACAACATTCAGAATCCTAGGAACTCCAGCCGTTTCTTTTATTATTTTCCTTAGAGTTACAAATAAATGCTTGAATGTCGGGGGCATTTCAGATGCTCAATATGCATAATATTTCCCATGGTTAAAATTTCAGTTCTTACAGAGTTGGCTCTCACACTCCCCCCACCCCCCTGGCATTATGTAAAATAGTAAAAACTGGTGTAGAAATTACACCAGTTTGGTATAGTAGCTAAGGTGCTGGCCTAGAAGCCAGAAGACTGTGGGTTAAAGTCCTACCATAGCCATGAAAGCCAGCTAGGTGGCTTTGGGCCACTCACTCACTCTCTCAACCCAACTCATCTCACAGGGTGGTTGTGGAGAAAATAGGAGGAGTAAGGAGTATTATGTATGTTCATAGCCTTGAGTTATTTATAAAAATAATTCAGTTGGAATAGGAATCTAAGTAAATAAAGAAAATCCTCCAAAACAGGTTATTTTTTTAATTGCTTGATTTGTCTGATTTAAACTGGTTGCAGAATGTAGGTGTTTGAATTCAAGTTTTACCTGCAGCATTAGATGCCCATTTTTAGTATTGAAAAAGCATAGCCAGAGACATTGACAATACGAAGCAAAATCTTTCTTTCCTTCCTTCCTTTAGTGGCAGAAACGAGAGGTGCACCAGTGCCCTTCAATGTGCCATGCGAGTTTACTACAGAGAAGGTCTGCGTGGCTTTTACCGCGGGGTTACTGCCTCCTATGCTGGTGTCACCGAAACAGTGATCCACTTTGTGCTTTACGAGGCTTTGAAGCAGCGACTCAGGGAACATCAGCTGCTCTTGACTCCATCAGTTGTCTTATCACCCAGTGGCCAAGACTTCTGTGGGCTGATGGCAGCAGCGGCTGTCTCCAAAACATGTGCTTCGTGCATTGCCTATCCACATGGTGAGTTGCTCTGAGCTCCATGCTCTCCTTTGACTCCATCTGACTATAATGAGAGCTTTCTGTCATCCTTACACTCATTTTCTGTTTTATTTTCCATAGAGGTTGTTCGAACCCGGCTACGTGAGGAGGGATGTCGTTATCGCTCCTTTGTGCAAACTCTCCAGCTTGTGGCCAGAGAAGAAGGCCCCTCAGCTCTTTATCGTGGACTTTCAGCTCATCTTCTTCGTCAGATCCCCAATGCTGCAATCATTATGGTTACCTATGAGCTGATTATTCACTTGGCAACCAAAATGTGATGCCTTTCTATTCTTGCCAGGTGGCTTAAGCTGTTAAAGGCTTTGAAGGGTATGATAGTTGAAGGGGTAGACTTTCCCATTACAACACATAAACCCTGTAAGAAAAGCCTAAAAAGTTAGGATCCTTCTGTAATGAGTGGTTCTGAAGGCTTGATCGGTGAAAGATATGTTTGGCTGCTCTTGACCTTTATCAGACATTTAAAGGCATGGACAAAAGAGCACATACAGATCACAAACCGGGACAGGTGTGGAATTTACTATGCAGAAATTGATCGAAGAAAACATCTCTGGTGAATGTTTCCAAGGTCTCACAGGCTAGGTGATCAATAGGCCCATCATGCAGTTTAGTGCACTGAAAGTGTTATGCTGTACTCCTCATAGGGCTGGAACTAATCTCGTCAACTGAGTGGGGAAATAGTTTTTAAGAAAAGGAGTAGAAAGAAGACTGGACATTTTATTGGAAGGAGATTAGTAATTTGGGTCTCAAAATTGAACTCTCCATCAGTATCGGCCAGTGACAAGACCTTTACAGATACAGCAATGTTTCTGTTTTGAGCCTACCAGAATAGCAAGTTGCTTATCCTCTAGGCAGGAGTCGCCAACCCCTGGGCTGCAGCCCACTACCAGGCCGTGGCCCATCCAGAACCGGGCCGTGCAAGCAGCAGGTGAGTGTGCGCACACGAAATGCCGTTTTGCATGAGTGGTGGACTCTCCCTCATGCACAAAGTAACATTTGCTCCAGCGGCATGTGCGTGTGCCTGCCACTCATGCATATGGTGTTTCATGCACTCTCACCCGCTTACAGCTCAGAACCATCCCCTCCCCCACTACCAGTCTGCCAAGGTGGAAAGGTTGAGGACCGCTGCTCTAAAAGTTGGTGGGGTACCTGTGCCCTCCCGCTTCATGTTTTTCTCCTTGTTCATAGGAAACATAGTGACAATAAGGACTGTAAAATAAGTTCCTTTGAGATATTGCTGTTCATGGATTATCCTTGTGTTTATATTCTCAGGTTTTGTTTACATTTCTTGATTTGTAGATTTTAACCTCCCTAACAGGAGGGTAAAAAAAAAGAAATCAAGTGGGGAAGAAATATGTTGGCAGCTATTCAGAATTCTCCATGTGGGAGAGAGTTGTACAATGTCAGTGAAGAGAATATTCTGAAATCGGACTCTAGCACACCCTCCAGTTGAAAGCTTGTGCTTTGATTTCTGTCTGTATGAGGTTTTTAAAAATGCAAAAAAAAAGTTATGAATAAAACTGCAGTTTTGAGAGTTTGTTCATACACACTGTGACATATTTTAAGAAATGAGACCAGGCTTTAAGATAGATTGGATTTTTTATCCTACCACAATTTTGAACCTTTTACTATTTTATCATATTTTAATATAAAAGAAAAACGAAAGAGAGTGACCTCCCCTGCGACTATTTCAGGTGGCATCCACAAAAGGAACCTCTGGCCTAGGAATTTCCACTAGTGAAAAATTAAAAGAATCTTTGGAACTTTTGTTCCAAATGGCCCAGGTCCAGGAAAACTCACCCACAGACTCAATGGATCTGCTGCCAGCAAGGTAGGATTACCTGGGCCAGGTTCATTGGTCAAGTTAGCTTGGAGTCTCATCTTTGGGTGCCAAATTATTGGAGGAAGTGTCCATCTGGGTTCAGTTCCAAGTGGGGAGAAAAACACTGGAAACATGGATTTGGAAAAATTGTTTAATGATGGGCAGCACCATATGGTTTGGGGTCCTGGGCAATTGAGCCCATGGGTGAGAGAGTGAGATTTATACCCTCTCTTGGGCTTTGAACTTGCTTCCTGTTCCTGTGGCATGTATTCTGATTGGTTGTCAGGCTCCCTTGGGGTCATGCAGGGGTAACTTTGTAGGCTGTCTTGAGTCCCAGGCTTGGTTGAACCTTGCTGGGGGGGTGGGGTGCAATCTTCCCAGGTGCCATGTGGTGAGAGATGGGTAGAGGGCTAATTCTATTATGTCCTGAGGGTGAAGGTTTTTTGTTTTGTAGATAAGATGGCCCAGCCTTTTGTCTTGTATATAGGTTGGCACCAGTCTTTCTGGGGCTATTAACAAGAGCATATTTCTCCTTTTCTCATCCATGGAGGTATAATATTCTGCCTTTTTAATATTTCCTAGAATATTTCATTCTTCTAGGAGAGGGGTGGGTGCTAACTTCCTATACCTAAAAGTCTTGAGCTCTGCACATTCTACTGTTCTTCTTGCCAAATAAATCCTGCAATTCACAGACTTTAGACAAAGGAGACCTTTGACATGATCAACGGTGAACAAAACTCTGCTGACTTGTTGTATTCCTTTGCCCTATTTTAACTAAAACCAGGTAAAAGCATTTGCAAGACAACAAAATTTATTTCTGAAGAAAGAGGCTCTAACACCCAGAGTATACATTTTTAAAATCCTTTTTTTATTTTAAAATGTGTTCCATTCCCTTTTCCATATCATATTTCCTTCACTTGCTTGAATATTATTGACAATTTTACAAAGCGACACAAGCTGCAGGTTTTTTTTTTTTGTTTCTTTGCATCAAACAAGAATCTCAAACAACAACATTGAAAAAATATACAATATTATATATATATATAGTATTTTGGGAATTCTGATGTACCCCTTGTGTTGTCCCTGCTACTTTCTCATTTCTCTCTGCTTTGCTTACATAGCATGCCAATTCATTTCATCCTTCTCAAGTGTGGTGGCAATCCTAAACTGGGAATTGAGTCAGGGGGCCCTGCCCCACCAGTCCAAGCAAAAAACTTGTAAGTTGAGAAGAATTAGGAATTTTAGGCGAGAGAAGGGCTCTTCTTCTGAGCCCTGCTGTTTGATTGTTTTTAATGAAGATCAAAATGGATATACTTTGGGCCCAGGGAAGCACTAACCTCAAGAGGCAGAGCAGAACCAGAGCAAAATCAATGGCTAACGCAGGATAAAATATACAGTAATGCTCTTTCAGAGCTCCCAATTGTTTCAATGAGCTAAGGAACTTCCTTGAAGATTGACCCCCCCCCATAGTAATTTAGAGGGAGAAGATGCCAACTACGTCTTTTGCCTCATGCACCAAAACTGTCCTCGCCACTCCACTGTGCAAACAATGGAGAAAACAGGAGGAAGGGGAGGGAGTAAAATGTAAATAGAGAAAATGTGTAGAAACAGGCCATATCCCCAATTATTAAATATAAGCATGACCTTTTGGTGATGGTCCGCTTTTATCCCATCCACTATATCCCTCTAGTAGCGACGAGAGGCATCATGCTTGCCCACAATGCGCCGCTCATCAATGGCATTGCTGGCTAGGCTATCGGGTGATTCAGAATCGCTGCTGTCTTCCTCTTCAGCTGCTTCCCTGGCTTTGGATTCATTGGCCTCTGCTACTCTCTCCTGGCAGCTCTGGTATGACTGCGGAAGAGAAAGGATACAGGGAGTGATCCAAGTTAAAACATGGTCTCTTCCCACCTGCCCATCCCTTCTTTCACTCACCTCCATGGGGTTGACAATAATGGTGAGAGCAGAGTCATCCCAGAACATCTCGTTCTCCTTGGCCCTGGCACTCCCCTGGCTTCCCGCAGACTCCCCGGCACCCTCCCGTTCACTCCCTCGCCTGTGCAAGGAATGGATGCGCAGCACACCTAGGATGACCATCAGTGCCAGGAACCCCACACACACCACAATGATTATAGTGGCAGCACTAGGAACCACTGCAGAATAGAAAAGAGAAGAGAGAGTGGGGGAAATAATGTTTGGTGGGCACTTTTGAGGAGAGGGTCATATAAAATGCATAAGCAACTTTTTTCAGGAGGCAAAGATCTATTGAGAATGAAAATGTAAGAGAGATGGCATAAATATACAAAAAGGATCCCCAAATGGGTGGTAGGTACAAAGGCTTGGTCGCTGTATTAGAGTCAGATATCTTGGAAAGCAAGGGTACGTGGAAAACAACATTACTCACAAAAATTGAAATAGCAGTAGAATGCTAAAAACCTTTCAAGATGGTACAGTTACCTGCGCTCATAAGCAGGTGTGGAAAAGCAGTTGCTTGTGCCTGTAAAAAGTAAAAGGTAAAGGAGTCCCTGCAGATTTTACTCTTCCAGGTGACTAGCTCTTCTCCGTTTCAAGAGCCACTAAGCCAGCACTGTCTGAAGACATTTCTAAGGTCATGTGGCTAGCATGACATCACGGAGCACTATTACCTTCTCACAGAAATGGTACCTATTTATCTACTTGCATTTGCATGCTTTAGAACTGCTAGGTTGGCAAGAGTGGGAATGAGAGCTCACCCCATCACATGTCTCAGGTCTCGAACCTGTGCTGCCAGCTTTCAAGGTGACAAGCCCAGCATCTTAACCACTGAGCCTTCACACTGCCTTCTGTGCCTGTTAAGCAGGTGTGGAAAAAATAGTGGGCGAGGGAGGGAATCCATTTTCCTTCTCCCCATTTTACTTAAAGAGGAACTCAGAGGAACATTTGAGGCCAAACCACCCACATCGAATCCAGTTGTCTTCATTGTTCCGAATGGTTACATTTATCTTCACCCAGGTTTACAAAAGTCAGGTTATGCTGCCTTTGAAGAGGCAGCGACATGAAGTGCTACAGTAATTCTGTAATGGAGAAAATAAAGGTAACAAATAAAAAAGTGTGGTTTAGTGGTTAAAATGCCAGGCTACAAACCAGTGAGTTCTAGACTCACCTTAGGTACGAAGCCTGCTGGCTGACCTTCAGGCTCCCTCTCAGCCTTAGGAAGGAAACCTGCACACCATTTCCAAAAACCCTTGCCAAGAAAACTTTGTCCAGGCGGTCACAAGAAAAACTTACTCAAAGGCATAAAAGGAACCTCCCAGTCTTTCGGACATGACCAGGGTCAATCTGAGTTCCTTTCTTTGCTTAATTCTATCAGACCCAAACTGTTCTCCCTGCGAGCCCAAATAACCAAAGAACATGAGCCATGAGTCCAAGGGCAACTTAGTAAATCAATTCCAATATCCCACCGTCAATCAGCCTGATGTCCTTAACACTCCCTCTCCTACTGTTTCCCAACCCTGCTGCTGTTGCTCCTGAAAGGGCTGTAACCCCAGGGACAGAGGCAAGAACCTGCCTAGCTTTCCTTAAATTGCCCAGCAAATTGGATTTCCCTTCCCTTTTTATAACAACTTTCTTGTTGTTCGGGGGTGGGGTGGTGGTGTCCCTCTTTCTTGTAAGGAACCCATCTATCAATGTAATAAACGTGATTGTTTCTCCAGGGCATTGGGTTCTTCTATACTTCTCAACACAGTTCAGGCTCAAGGTTATCAAGGGTTATTAAACTGCTGAATAGGATAGTTTTGATCATCGTTTAAATGACTATTGTGCCATTAAAACAACAAATGCTTTTTGGCAAAAGGTCTCTTCTCTCCAATCACCAGGATCCAAAGATTAATCACAGCAATGCAGTTTTGCTCAAATATATTCTGAATGCAATTATTGGTTGTTTGTGAAATCTGGGCAAGTGGTCTTATTTTACCTCTATACGGGGTTTAATTCAGTGGTGGGATTCAAATAATTCAACAACCGGTTCTCTGCCCTAATGACTGGCTGGGTAGGCGTGGCTGGGTGGCTATGTGACTGGGTGGATGTGGTCAACTTGACATCACTACACTAAGTGTACAAGCCAGAACATTATTACCACATTAAAAGCATACATTCAGATACATGACAAAGAAGGCTCTCAGGAGAAGCAAATGCTCACATATTATACAATGACCTCCCACTTAGAAATAAAAATATTTCTCATTTAATCACCAAGCTGGGGTCCTTGGTAAGGATCCCAAAGAGAAGAGGTGCCTGCTTATATGCATCTCCAAACTTTGCCCAGCTAAAGGCAAAGAAAGGGGCGTTCAAAGGAGCAAAGGCCATTACACCCGGGAGAAGGGAGAGTGAGAAGCCAGGGTTTCTCTGAGAAGAAGCAGCCCAACACATGCCCTATCCTGAAGCCAAGCCCATGCACCCACCAACAGTGTGCTGGCTCTCGCTCACCTGGCTGTCACGACCACATTGTAAATGACTAGATAGGCTGTTGCTAAGGTGCCAGGGCCTTTCTGTCACTGGCCTGCTGAGGCTGCAGGCTCCTGGTCATGGTCCCTAGTTGCTCCCCAGCCACGACAGATGAGGTGCCTCCTCCCCAGGCCCCCATTCATTTCCCCCCAACAGCCGGACTAACCTAGACTAAAGCCAGCCACATGAGAAGTGGCTGGGAGGAGAGGGGCGAGGGGCAGGGCTAGGACCAAGCCAAGCCAATGGTGTTAGCTACTGATTTGGCCAAACCGGTGCAAACCGGCTGAATCCCACGACTGGCTTATTTTATTCCTTGATGAATGTAAGACTCTCTTGAAGAATTCTTTCTCAATTTAGAGACCTCCTAAGGGATTCCCTCTTCTTTACTATAATTGCTTTGAATAAGATTATATGGAGGAATCCATTTGGGGTCTTCTGGGTCTTATCTGTTCAGGCCCTAAAATTGTTATCTGCTAAGTCGCTTTCTCTAGTTACCATTCCATAGTCTGTATTTTGAATATCAACTGGTACATACTAGAATTACGGTGGACATTAGCCAGACTGTGCCCAGAAAGCTCTGGAGGCAGATGGTGGCCTCGGTGCGTGAACTGCTGGCCACTCATAATGTGGTTGGGATGAGCGCCTCGATTCATATTGTGGAGGACATTCACCTGTAGAGAGAAATTAACTAAGTTCAAATTACTTTATATCCAACTGGTTCTACTTCAGTTATTCACAACTTTTGAGTGTCACAAACTCTCTTGTGAAACTTACCTCAACAGTGAACTCATTGCTGGAGTAACGGCCATTCATCTCAGTGCAAGAAAGACGAAACTTTCTTTCATAAAGGGCTGCTCCACGGTGGATACAATAGGAGATCTGGTGAAGGATTTCTTCATACACAGCTATGCTCTCCACCCCTAGATGTTGGAAAAGAACATCAAGACTCGGGTGTGAAAAAGGATGGCAAGTGGACCAGTGATGGGATTCAAAAATTTTTACTACTGCTTCTGTGGACATGGCCTGGTGGGCCTGGTGTGGCTTGCTGGGCATGGCAGGAGAAGGTTACTGCAAAATCCCCATTCCCTTCCGATCAGCTGGGACTCGGGAGGTGGAGAATAGATGGGGTATGGGGCCAGTCAGAGGTGGTATTTACCAGTTCTCCAAATTACTCAAAATTTCTGCTACCGGTTCTCCAGAACTGGTCAGAACCTGCTGAATACCACCTCTGGACCATGTTCAAACTTGGCTGTTTTCCTTCTCTGTGTTTCATGAGATGTTATTACAGTTTACTTTATATTAAATTTATAAACTGATGGGATGGGATGGAGATGGGAAGAGGGTGGAGGGAGGGAAGCGAAAGGAAGGGGAGGGAAGGAGGGAAAGAGGGGAAGTTTAGTTAGAAGACTAAACTTAATTTACAAATAAAGAAAATGCCTGGTGTGAAATACTATGAAAGACATAATGGCAAAAACAGGAAAATGGCTACTTAACCTTTACTTTGCCACTGCTTTTTCATTCCCTCCTCTGTTTATATTTCCCAGGACAGAAAAATCTAGACTGTTTACCTCACTAGAATCTAGAATCCTGCAACAGGAAATGATCTATGCAGCCAATCTACAGCTATTCTTCATCCCATCACTTAACTTTCTCACATAACTTTCTCACAAGCTGCACACGAGGTCACCCAAACGTGTCCTAAAGCTTTTCCTCCCTCAGTGCTCCATTTCTCCCCAAGACCAATTTTATTACTGTTTTGAGTTAATTGTGTGCTGTATGGGTGGGAGGGAGACAATTTAGTGTTAAGGAAGCAACTGGAAAAACTTCCAATTAGGAAACTGAAATGAACCTGGAAGAGACATGGGATAAAGAGAGAAAATGCCCTTCAGGGATGGGTGCCAGCTCAGAAATTAATCTTACAGACAAGCCAATAAGCAAAGCAACTGTAACTGGAGAGACAAACACAAAGACAGAGAAAGAGAGACTGCATTGATAATAACAAAGGTTTTTGATTTGTTGAAATTAAGGACTAGATGATTTTGTCTGCAGTACTTTAGTGTTGCTGCAAGAGCTCTCTTCAGTCCAATTGGGGTTGGAGCAAGATAACAGCGGCAGCATCGGCATAAAGAAGTATTGGGATTTTGTGTTGTGCTAAGTTGGGAGGATGGCAGTCAGGGTTATGCGAAAGATCAGTCAAGGAATTAATGTAGAAATTGAAACGGGAAGGGCCCAAAATACATCCCTGATGACTCCTTTTTTAAACTTACTGAACCAAATAAAGTCCCTTGGGGGATACACCTCACTTTTAAGGATGAGTTGGGACATAATTTTTGAATGAAGTAGAGGAGGCATCTAATGGTACTTTTTAATTTTCCCCAGAGGGTATTTCTGAATATTGGGTCAAAGTCTTGCTTAAAGTTGAAAAAGGAAGACTTCTTTTTAGATGTTTGTTTTTGTACAAAGTAATAAAACATCAAAATATGATCGATTGTTCATCTCCCTTCCCTGAATCCAGCCTGCCTTTAATTATGCCCTCTGAGATTATCCAGCCTTGAGGTTTGTAGTTTAGATGCTCAGCATATAACTTGCTAAGAACACTCAATAGACTTATGGGTCTTTAGTTCCATGGGTCATTTTTATTGCCCTTTTTATAGATTGGTTCAATAATTGCCATTCCCCTGTCTCTTGGCATATATAACCAGTCTGGTCTATAAATGTGAAGAGAGATGCTCACAGGGGTGCTCACCAGCTGTGGCTCTTTTTAATTATTTCTAGTAGACCACAACCAGCAGCAGGAGTGCTTCAATAATAAACTTTTCACCAATTGCTCCACAGAATGCCTAATATGGTTTGCAAAGAAGGAAGAAGGAGAACAATAAGAAACTGAAAATTTCCCTCTTACTTTTATAGCCCTTTGTTAGTAGAGCTTTGAGAACATTGAAGTCTCTAGCATTGGAGCACTCTGACTGTCAAGGCAGAACTGTACCCCCTATCTGACGTTCTCAGTCATGTGAATTATACATGCAGTGCCAAAGGTCCTCTCTCTGCCATTGCCATACTAATGTCTGAGCAGAGCACTAACAGATAACTATCAAAACAAAATAAAGAGTTTGGGGTGGCATTTTGGAATATTACCACTTTTCCATTGCCTACCACCCTAAAATGGAATTTCTCTTAATGGCTTGTTTCCAAAACATTATCATACTTGAGCTAAGCTAAGGAGAAAATAACACTAGAAAGAGAGAGACAGACAGACAGACAGAGACAGAGAGATTTTTTACAAATACCCCATCAATATAATTTATTTCCATTAACATTCATAATGTGTACTATAATGAAGTCCAATAAGATGAAATATGATACAGTATGTGACATGATACAATATCATTATATAATATCGCCTTGTCTAGATCAGTGTTTCTGAACCTTGATAACTTTAAGATGTGTGGATTTCAATTCCCAGAATTTCCAGCCTGCATGTTCTTGGGTGGCATCCTGGCTGGCGAATTCTGAAAGTTGAAGTCCAAACATCTTAAATATGCCAAAACTGAGAAATACTGGTCTAGAGAATTAGGACAGATATGACTTTAAAATAAGACTATGCTACTATTTCTGCCCGTTTGACCATGTACATGCAACAGTTGCTAGTTGACAGAACAAGAGTTTTAGTTTCTTAAGGGACTTGGAGCATTTCAGGATGTTGACACAAAGGAGATGGATAATGCCAAAAGAAAAATAACTATTCAGGTGATGCATACCTGTGACAGTGAGATAGGCTGAAGTATTCATGAGTTCCAGACCTCGCTGCTGGAGGGAGGCTCCATCCAAGACCAGATATTCTCGTTCAGGATCCAATTCTTCTCCAATCAGGGAGATCTCACAACCATCGAGGTTGTGAACAATCTCATCTGACATTCGTGTATCTGCCACTGCCAGGAAGGAAAAACATTAGGGAAGAAAATAAAAAAATATGTAATTGTTGTAAGAAAGGTAAAAAATCCATAACTTTATAAAAAGCTGAGATGTGTACAATTTGCATGGAAATCCAAGCAAATCATATTTTGGGCAAGATAATTATTTTAAGTATCAAAATAATAGCTTTAATGAAAACACAATCAATTTTTAATTTCAAGACAATAATTACTGTATTTTTCAGAGTATAAGACGCATCGGAGTATAAGACACACCAAGGTTTTAAAGAGGCAATTTTTTTAAAAAAGTAGTTAGCTAGATAGAGCAGTGTTTTTCAACCTTTTTTGTGCAAAGGCACACTTTTTTCATGAAAAAAATCACGAGNTGCATGTGTATATACACACAAAACAATAGCAGCTCATTTGAGCCTTGAAGTTTGAAGGCAGGCAATAGAAGCTTTTGGTGCCATGCTGCTTACATAAGCTAGGAAATCAGTCCAGATAGCTTTTAAGGGATAACAAAGATATCTAAAAATGACCAAAAGGCTTAAAATTCAGTTCACTGATAAAACTGACCGTGAAATGTATGATAGAACTCTGATGTCAGGTAGTGGGAGGCAAAATGAATTTTCAATACTTAGATTTTAAAAATGTTACTCCCTTAGAGAATTGCTAATCACTCTGTATTAAAATTATGTGCATGCATATCTCTACCTATCCTATACACAATTCTCAAGGCAGTTTTAAGGAGAAACATGTTGTCTGTCACTGCTGGTTCAAAAGCATTTAGGAATGTATCATTTTTAATAAAGCATGAGATTTACTAATAAGACATCAGCTGAACATAGCATACCATCATATTCTGATCAAATTAGTGAATCTTGTGTCAGATGAATTAATTAGTTTATTAATAGACCAGAACATTGGCAATATGATATAAAATTAGATAGCATGGTGAGGGGAGAAATTACCAGTACAATGAGTATGTCAATTTTTATTATCAAATTGTGAAGGCTTTAACTTTTTTTTAAAGAGATACAAATAATTTCTGTCAAAATGAAAACACATTCAAAGAACTCTATGCTATGCTACTAAATGCATTTTGTGGAGCTGAATGCCTTGTTGTTACATCAATACAATTTTACTTAAAAGAAGAATTTTTAAAAAAAAGACAATGGTGCTTTCATTTTACAACATATTTTACTTGTACTATTAGGCAAACAAGACAAGGCAGAAAAGAACAGTTCAGAATAATGTCCTCCAGTAAATAGAAGCTAATACAAAGACCATGACATATACTATAATCAGTTTTCTTTCGTTCATAAACAAGTGGGCTAGTCACAACATAGAAGCAGTGGAAGAAAAAGTGCTTGAAGATATAACATTCTATCCGTCTCAAAGTGCCCCCTATCATTTTAGAAGGTTGTAACAAGGAGTTATGAGAAAGAATCAATGGAAGGCCGAAGCTATGATTTTGAGCTGGCACTCAAGTTCAAGTCTGCCTTCAATCACACAACTTAACTGGGTGACGTTGGTCCTCCTGAAGCCAACTAACCTCACTAAGTCCTTGTTGTGGGACAATTTAGAGGAGCAAATGATGTGTGTCTTCCTCTGGGATCTTGGATAAAAGTGGGATGTTAGTCAAAAAAATGAGGTCCAATCCATCAGCATTACTGAGAATGCTATCTTGAGTTATACAATAAACTAATATTGAACAATAAAAATGGGTGGTTGAAGCCATTGCTTCTCCTTCTCCTGTCTTCTCCATCACTTTTTTCCGTTTATATCCTTTTTTTTAAGATAGTAAGCCTGAAGACCAGGAATGATGTTTCTCATTAAAATTGAGAAATGGTTTGGATGAAAAGTATGATAAATTTGAGGTAAATACATATGACTAGGAGTGGGATATTCAGTAGACTGCTGTGGTTGCCATGTGTCCTCAGAGTCTTTTTTTAGAAAATCACCTAACTGTCTGGAATAAGAGTTTGGAGGTGCAGAAGGCTTTCACAAGATAAAGGCAAGGGTTTGTTCAGCTGACTAGAAAATATCATACTGTCCATAATTCATCCAGAAATTTGAAGAAAATGTGCTGGATACCCTAAATTTGAGTTTGTAAAAGTAATAGTAATTACACTACAGAATTTGTGCATGCATGTGTGTGTGTGTGTGTGTGTGTGTGTGTGTGTGTGTG